GACAAAATTAGCATGGAAAATTCCGTTTAATGTTATTTGTTTTTATTAGTAACATTATACAAACTGATAAAGCATAAAGTTGATAGTGACTGTACAATTTTTTGAAAGCATTCAAAAGTCTGTGGTATCTGTTACACTTTGAAGGCAACCTATGTGTTAATACAAGATAACGATAATTAAACTAAGCTGTATTTGAACGTATTCTAGCAAACAGTACAAGTTGTGAAATATGCATGCGATTTGATGAAGCAAGTGAAGCATAACCATCTAAATTGAGGCCCCCAAGAGACTGTATCACTCGCTTTTCAAAATATACAACATGCACATTTTTAGCCACACTGGCAGCTAGTATTCCAACACTTGGTTTTATTTTCATCTACCTCGATCACCTTTAATCATAGTCAATTCAACCCACCCAGGGACAATAACCCCAATATCTATCCAATTAATGATGTCTATCACTTTATATTCTTTTTGATGTCTGTTTACAGTTCTTATCCATCTATTATAATTTCATGTTATTCGTAGAAAACGCTCAAAACGCTATAGTTGGTTCAAATATTTCATGTACAGTCTGGGACTCCTTTTGCAAGTCCATCCATACATACAGTTATTCTCAACTATTTTTAGCTCACCTGGCCTAATGGGCCAAGTGAGCTTTTCTCATCACTTGGTGACCGTCGTCCGTCGTCCGTCGTCGTCGTCCGTTAATTTTTACAAAAATCTTCTTCTCTGAAACTACAGGGCCATATTTAACCAAACTTGGCCACAATAACTATTGGGGTATCTAGTTTAAAATATGTGTCCGAAGACCCCGCTTGTCAACCAACATGGCCGCCATGGCTAAAAATAGAACATAGGGGTAAAATACAAGAATTGTCTACTATTTTGAAAACCGTTATAAATAGAGAAAATATGACAAGGGCAGAAATGTTCAAAATGTTGAGCGCTACCAATTGTCTATATACGTCAAAATTGTCAGACGACTTCTTATAGGAGTTATTGCCCTAAAATGACAAATTTTACCTTTTTTTCATTTTTTCCCACTTATTTTAAAAACTATAATAGATAGAGAGAAACTTTAAATTGCAAAAATGATCAGCAAGACAATTTCTACAAATAAGTCTGCAAGGTCGAAATCGTCAGTCGACTCTTTATTAGAGTTATTGCCCTTTGATGACGGTTTTTACCATTTTTTGGCGTTTTTGCCTTATATTTTAAAAATTATAATAGATATAGATAGAAACTTAATTATGCAAAAATGACCAGCAAGACAAGAACTAAAATTCTATTCTCGTCTTTAATGTTGGAGAGTGACCTTTGTTGAATATGCACATAGACCAAGGTGAGCGACACAGGCTCTTTAGAGCCTCTGGTTAAACTGTATTTTGTTTATCATTGAAATTGTTCAAAGTTTCTATCTATTTATCATACTTCTCAACAAATAATAGCCAACAACAGAAAAATAGTAGAAAGTGACTTTGAAAGGCAATAACAGGAGTCACTTATCGATTTCTTTCATACTGACACACTCATAGATCTATCTTATTTCTTATTTAGAATTTCTCTCTATCGACAATGGAGACTCCAAGGAACAGTTATTCATAACCTTTTATTTTTGTATTAAATTAAGAGAATGCAACACAAATGTTTGTGTAAAAAAGAAATGTTGTCTTGCTGATCAGTCTGATTGACATAGTTTCTGTCTATTCGTTACAATTTCTAGGATAGTAAGCAAAATTTAGACATATGGCTAGTTTGTAGATCATGTTTTGCTGATCATATTTTGTAATCTAAAGTTTCTATTTGTTAACTAACAAATTTCCGTCAAACACACAAAAATGGATAAAACTTTGTCCTTTCAGAGCAATAATTCGGACGCCATCACGAGTTGGTTGACCGTAAGGTAATATCTGGTGACAATTGATAGGTTTCTTTTGTCTTACCCACAATTCCGACCACTTTTCCTCGATTGTGACATCAACGAACAGAATTTATCACAGAATGTTTTCTTACCATAAGCAACATGACGGTTGCACCTCTTCTAGATCAGTTGAGATTACCACCAGTTTTTCCGTGGTGTTCATGTTGCTCAGTCTTAAGTTTTCTATGAAGTGTTTTTTAATAACATTAACGGTATCAATTTTTCTGCACAAGATGCGCATTTCAACAATAAATGTCTGATCAGTGATGCTCGAGGCAAAAATATTTGAAATCCAAAGCTCATTAAAAAAAAAGAAGAGTTTATAAACCAAAAATGACAAAAAAAATATAGCCAAAGTCAGGCAAGGAATAAGAGCTTTGCATGAGGGAGATATATTCCTAGATAAAAAAATTATTTCTAAAATTTTGTAACAGCAAATTTTAATAACACAAAATCCGTATTTTCATGCAAGTACTGAAGTACAGGCTACTGGGCTTGTGATACCCTCGGTACTAACAGTCCATAACATGATATAACTCTAGAACTCTCAGAATGGGTGCTTACAACATTCAACTTGAAACTTAAAACAAATTTAATCAGCATACATGCATGTTGTATTTGTGCTCAGATTTATAAAACATTTTACATTTACATTTTATAATAATCAAATTATTTTGGCCTAAGCATAATTTTCAATAAAAATGCAAATTGTAAAACCGAATATAAACAGAAGATGCACTTCTGTTAACAATAATTGTCGTCGTCGTTCGCATTGAAAAGGAATTATCTTATAGTTAATCTTTTTCATATTTTTCAATTTCTAATAAATTCAGATATGTAGAATAGCATATTTTGTAATCCCTCAAGACCTTTTTGTTTCCTAGGTCAAATATATTAATGAAAAAGAGGTAAACTCAGTTTACTATGCATGATTCTAAGGAATTATATTTCTTGATATTTCGTAGAAATATTTTCAGATGTTACAGTGTTTAGAAAATTAGATATTCAAACAAGAATGTGCAGCTTTCTTACTGTTCATGATTTGGGATAAAAACAATATTTCTTTTAATTTAGATCATTTATTATAAAATTATATACAACATACGAGATAGAGGTAGCACATTTTATTTTCTTTACCGGTTTATTAATTAAAAAAAAACAAGGGAATTTAATTTAGCTAGCAGTATGATTTATAATAAAAATGTAACTGTTTTGTTTAGGACATTCGAGATAATATAATAAGGAATACACCTGTAATAATAATAGGCAGAATTTTGTTTCTTAAGCCGATCATTTTTTTTTTTTTAAATAAGGGAATTTTATCTTTGTTGCTTTATTTTGAGTTCAGACAACAATTTGTCATTTCTTTGGTAGTTTAGAGGAAACATTATGTAGGACACACGTGTAAAAGATAGAAAACTTATTGAGGACACACCTGTCAAAGGTAGAAAAAATATTCATATTCCTTTCCGGTTAATCAATGTCGATAAAATAATGAAATTTCCACTTGTTTTTTTTTGGGGGTAAAAGTAGAAAAGTACTACTACTTTTTTTTTATTTAAACGGTAAAATTATATACAACACCCCAGTCATAGGTAGCAAAATTTCCCATTTATTTATCAGTGAATCAATTTCAATAAAATAAAGGAATTTCCACTAAGTCTTGCTTTATGAGTTACGACAAAAGTGATATTACTTTTTGGAATTTCAATGTTGGAATGAAGAACAGCACACCTGTCATCGGTAGAAAAACTATTTTAATAACATAAGCAAGTTGCAGCTTCTACATGGTTCCAGAAGCTGAGCAGTTTTGTATGCTTTATCCTGTTTTTTTTTGTTGCTTTTCCTGAGATATTTTGACTTTGTTTCAGAGAAACATTATTGAGCCTATACATTGAAAAGGCATTATACACAACTGATAATAAAAAATATTGATTTCAAATTTACATTTAAAAATAAGGACGAGATGTAATGATCTTTGATAACATAGTATGATAATAATAAATTATGATTTGTCAAAGGCTGGTACAAATGTTTTGTGACCTGACGAATTCCAACACTCCACGCATACAATCTGGCCAACATTGTTCTTTCTGTGTATCTGTGGCATAGCCAGACCACCCAATCTTGTTTCAATCATTTTTGTTTACCTGTTAAAAATTTTAAGTCACCATAGTACAGACTCACGGGGGGGGGGGGGGGATGGGGGGGGATGGGGGGGGGGGGGTTACTTCAATTCTTTTGTGTGGTAGGGTAATGCATTTGAGACATCCACTATATTTTGCATGTTTAAAAACAAATGAATGCATATCTAACATATATATTTTGGCAAAAGTAAACCTGTAGCTATCAATCAATAGGTGACAAGCATTTTGTTTATAAAGAAAAGGGAAAAGACGTATTGAGATACACCATGTTACAATGTACGGTAAACTTTATGGAACTAGGCGATATATTAGATTAATTACTTTATAAAGAAACATGTATTATGATAATTTATGGAAGTAACAATTACGCTAGTAAGGTTTTCCACATTTAGGAACAACGTGTAACAATACAGGTATTGAAAACTCAAAATAATGATGCTATTTTCTCTTTTATATGATAAAATTAGATTTAAGTCAGAAAAAAAAGAAAGTCAACAGACTATGAAAAATAACCACAAAAAAATGCAAAAGATATTTTGATTAAATAATTCACAGTATGCCCTTCCATAGCAGTTAATTTTGTGCAACTCCTTGCTGTTCCCATATATTTGTAGAGAATTGAGAATCAACAATTTTTTTTTTCAAGACTTATCACTTTGGTAACTGTGGGTGAACAAGGATCATATTTACATTTCAGGTTTAATGTGCTTTTCAATTGTGTGTGTCTTCATTTAAGTGATGATGGCCTAACAAAATAAAACAAATAAAAAAAAAAAGAAATACACGTATGAATCTGATTTTAGCGCATACAGTACATATTGATAGAATTCTGACTAAACCCAACAATAAGAAAGGCAAGTACAGTACAGTAAATGAATACTGTGTAAAAAGTAGTCAATATATGATATTTTTTTATCTTTTAATTACAGCATATATTGACTTTTGGTTGGATAACATTCACTGTCATGCTATCAAAGATGACAATATAGCCTCAATAACCCAGATCGATTTTCTGAACCCACCTGTAATAATAATTGGTACTGGGGTCGACGAAATACAGGTAATGCATCTTACTTACTTTTCTTTCTGAAGTCAAATTGATGTTTGGTTAGCAAAACAATATATTTTATTGTATTTACTGTTGGATATATATATATATATATATATATATATATTTATAAATAAGTCTAAATTGAAAACAACGTTCAAACCTGATTTGCGTTTGATAAAAAACCGCAATTTGTATACGGGTGCATGCAAAACAAATTTCTTGGTAAAGGGGTCTAAATACAACACACACAACATTTTCCAAAAGACCAACAAAGTGAAAAAGTATATTTAAACAAAACGCATTTGACTAACAGGTCGAACAACGGATGTTCTTTAACCCTGCTGACTGCATTGGCGATTGCCAAATAAACGTATCACAAGATGTAACAAAATGGATCTTTATTATTAATTTAATACCAAACAGAAAACAATACACTTGCGGAAAAGATGGTATACCGCAAACACGAGGTGCAAAAATTGGTATATCATATCCGGATTTCGACAATTAATGTCTCTTCAGTGATGATAGGAATCGAAACGGTATTTGGAAGGTCATATAATTTACCTCAATTGAGGATAGACTCTAAAGAGTCGAAATAGGATGAACGGATCATATAAACCCGAAGGCAAATATAATACAAGCCCAAATGAAAAAAAACCAAATAAGTCTAAATTGAAAACAACGTTCAAACCTATGAATGCGTTGGATAAAAACTGCAATTTGTATATACGTGTGCATGCAAAACAAATTTCTTTGTAGAGGGGTCTAAATACAACACACACAACATTTTCCAAAAGACTAAAAAAGTGAAAAAGTATATTTAAACAAAACGTATTTGACTAACAGGTCGAACAACGGATGTTCTTTAACCCTGCTGTCTGCCATTGGCGATTGCCAAATAAACGTATCACAAGATGTAACAAAATGGATCTTTATTATTAATTTAATACCAAACAGATCAACAATTAATGTCTCTTCAGTGATGTTAGGATGAACGGATCATATAAACCCGAAGGCAAATATATTACAAGCCCAAACGAAAATGTAAATAAGTCTAAATTGAAAACAACGTTAAAACCTATGATTGCGTTGGATAAAAACCGCACTTTTTATACGTGTGCATGCAAAACAAATTTCTTGGTAGAGGGATCTAAATACAGCACAAATAGTCAAATGCGTTTTGTTTAAATATACGTTTTCACTTTTTTGGTCTTTTGGAAAATGTTGTTTGTGCTGTATTTAGACCCCTCTACCAAGAAATTTTTTTTGCATGCACACGTATAAAAATTGCGGTTTTTATCCAACGCAATCATAGGTTTGAACGTTGTTTTGAATTAAGACTTGTATATATAACCATCACTGGTGATCCGATGGATAAAATCTGTTGTAGAGTCGTCACTGGTTCAGACGTACTTATAATATAATTATTTCTGTGACTGCATCTTACATTAATTTGTAGGTGTTTCCTTTCCTCGTCAGTTTTAATCTAGCGTTGTAATACAGTACATGATAGATATTTCAGCTGATCTGTAACAATTCCATCTTCATGCCTGATATATCATGTACTGTATTACGACGCTAGATTAAAACTGACGAGGAAAGGTAACACCCGGCCACCGAAAGCTTTATATTTGCTTTTATATAGGTGGTCGTGTGGTCTTGCGCGTCGGATACAGCGCAGGCGATTTGGTGTCACGATATCTCAGTAGCATGAGTTCGAAACCCGGCGAGGGAAAAACAAAAAATTTGCGAAAGCAAATTTACAGATCTAACATTGTTGGGCTGATGACGAGTTGTATATATATACGTGTACTATAAAATGACTTGTGTCGATTACATAGTACCCTTTATATTTTACATATATATTCGTTAAGGGTTTTATGCCACAAACTAATATCTTATGAAAATAGTTTATTAAACAGCGGGAAAGAATAATTTTTATACGCATCTGCGATCAAGTACTTTCATATCTGTCAGTATTAATATCTTGAAAGTATCTGAATTGTGATAGCTAGTTATTTACTTTTTTAATTTACACAGAAAATGAACACCTTGTTGGGACTTGCATGAAATTTGAATTGTCTGATATTAGTCCTTTCGAAATTGTTTAGTACGCGACTTGAAGATTGTACTTGTATATATAAATTCAGCAATGAAACTACATGTATAAGATCAACATATATTTACTTTGATATTATTGTAAAAGAAAATCGCTCTTCAGTGTCTTTATATGTTTACCTTGACTGATATTCAGACAGCTATTAACCATTAATGTTCCTACGTTATTAATGAAATTTTTTCACAACCGTTATTCCATGTTGATTATGATAATTTCATGATGTAGATATTTATCTAATCTATTTTATCTTTACGTGTTGGGTAATGTGACGAGACTGAAAGTGTGACATTTAACCTTTAGTTAGGTTTTCTATTAGCCCTGACAAAGGTGGTGTTACTTTCCTGTGATGTAATTCAAGACAATAAAAACACTTTGTGTTTAACTAATATATATATATAATTACAAGCCTATTTCGATGGATTGATCTTTATTTGATTAACAGTGTACTAGTAAATTAGCTATTTTAATTGTTTCCACTTATTTATTCCTTAAGGACTAAGTAAACTGTGTTCCGTGTTATCGGTATTGTGATCGAAAAGACTTGTAGGATTGTCAGACTTCTAAGTTTGTTTGCCAAGAGTTATTGCTTCAAATCTAACACTAAAATGTTCTGTCCTATCCTGATAATATAAATGATGTTTTATATAAGGACTGCACATACTTAAAGTGAGTCATCGAAATCGCCAAATTAATGAATCCGATTTTTTTCGTAGAATGAAGATAAGCTTCGTAAACAGAAGAATAAACTCCATGAACTACTTAAAGGTCATTCAAAGCGTAAGCATATCCGCAAAACATACTTCCTGTCAAATAAACATTTCTCGAAATACGAAAATGAATTCAAAGAACTGCGAGAACAAATTGTCCAAGTGGCAAGTAATATACCAAAATGGGGAGATGATTTACCAACTAGATGGATAGTCCTAGAAAAAGAAATCGAAAGACAAATTGCTGTTGAAAACTTTATCATTCCATACGAAGAAGCTGTGCAATTTGCTGTAAAATGTTCATTCCCAATCACAGATTTGGAAGCTGAATTGAAATCCTTCCTTAAATATGAACATGAAATTGGAAATTTGATATATTTTGATGATATTAGAAGTTACATTATATTAGAGCCAAAATGGTTAGTTGATGTATTAAGATGCTTTGTATCTCCGTTACAATTTCAATCGGAGTTTGTAAATATGACTGAATGGGAAGCACTACAGTCAACGGGTTTCTTGTCCGACAAGTTGATAAAAAAATTGTTCGACAAAATACCAAAACTTAATTCGGATAAACACACAAAGTTTGCTTTACAAATTATGGAAAAATTTGATATTATAGTTAAACCCACCACGATTGAGGGAAGTGAAGATTACTACATACCTTGTATGATTAATGTGTCAAACTTTGATAGTATTTCAAAAATGTTCAAATTAGCCAGCAAAACTTGTTCAAGAAGCTCTTGGTTTTGTCTTGAGTTTAATTTTTTGCCACCAGCATTTTTTAATCACATTTTAGTTACTTTCGTTAAAAAATATCCTTTGTATGAAGAAAATAAAAAGCTGTCACTTTATCGAGGTATGGGTATTTTCAACTTAGACGCCGAGAGTTACCAGCCAAAGTTTAGTGTTTGTCTATCACAGAATTGTGTTGCAATGCAAGTGTGGGAATTTCATCCTAAAGAGCAGCAGACATGCGTTGGTAACTATAGTCAAATTAGGAAATACCTGGTAGACACTGTCCATTTACTTCAACAAAGATACAGGATAAACATTAACTGTACGGCTCATTTGAAATGTTCTGAAGAAATGTATAATGAAAAAACTCAAACTGTTTCATGTGATGCTGATTCGACAAAAAGCACACAATACTGCTCTCATCACGGTTGCCATACACTGGAAAACCTACGTAGGAATTGGTTTCAGGTAAGACAAATTTAAAGGAAAAATAGACAATGTGGGGATAATATCAACAAGACAGACACACAAAAACAGAATTAAAAATATTGAAATCTTCAATGTATATCATACATTTATCTTTCAAATTATAAAATTCGAAGGTTAAATTGGTTATTTGTATAGATCAGTCAGAATCTTCTTGCATTCAGATATGTTATAAATAGAGATTTAGAATAAGTGTATGACTCGAACTCGATTCCGAGTACAAATAAGAATACAGTAAGTATAAGACTTGAAAAATACAGGGGTAATCTCAAAATAATAAACATATTAAACAAATATAAACAAAATAGTATTTATGAAATTGTCGGTCATTATACAATAGTACAACAAACTTTTAAAGCCTTATGAAACGAGTTTCCTTTTTTTTACAGCAAAAAATATATTCCGTATTCTTCAGATTACTTTTTACAATTATACTTTACTGTCCAATTGAAAATGCCAGTGAAGTATTCCTGCGAAATACTTTCTGAGTGTCCTGGAAAATACTCAGAACATAATAAAAATAAATATAACATAAACTATGACAATATATATTTATTATTCTACTATGTGAATCTCTTTAAATTTATGAAAAATACATTTTTAGAGATCGTTTTGCTTTTATTCATAACCCTTCTTAATTCCTTCATAATAATTTTTATAAATTTACTATTCATCTTTTTGGTGTTTAAACTACAGTGCATACATACATTGTTTCAAGACATTAATGAATAAAATATATGACATTGTTATTATGGGACTACGAAATATAATAACTTTACAAGTCTTCGATGCGAATATACAATATATGATACTATCCCGAGAATACTTTGGAGTTCATTAAATATACAATAATATTCAAAACAAATTAAATAAATTCCATAATCCCTACCCCCTCCCCCGGAAAGCATGCACTGATATTAACAGGCTGTCTAATTGTGTGATCTTTACACAGTTAATGTAATATTTTGCCTGTTAAAAACAATAATTTAAAACTAAGTTTTCAGAAATTAAAACGCCAAAAATTACATTGTTTTTATTCAAAAATAATCTTACTCCAAAAACAAAATACCACGAATTAGAAAATTCTCTCAATTTTTTTTTTGTATTTCCGTGCATTCAAAACATTATGCTCTATAGTTTCTATCTCTTTACAACCGGTGCATTCATTAGTATCTGAAAATCGATATTTTTCAGCAGATAATTGTGAGAGACTATTCTATGTAAAATGTTGTATTGGATTGCTTGTAGTTTATTATTCCGTTTCAACTTAACAAATAATACATGATAGTCTTAAAATATATGTTCTAGGTACTGACGTTGTTTATCATCTTAATTACGTGTTATAGTTGTTATAGTGTTCGTTTTATTTGTCTTTGTATATTTTTAACCTGTACTGTTTAGTCCATTTTTGGTAATATCCTTTTGGCGTGTCTCGGTATTTATTTATCCCGCATTGTGTTATTGTGCTATGGTCATTTTTTGTATTCTTGTCTTTCATTTTTGCTTATATGCTTTGTCTATAGAGTGTCTACATGCAAATTTGGTTTTTTTGTTGACGTAGTTGTTTGATTTTATAGTGATTAAGATTATAACACAATGTTGACTGCTGTACCCAATTTTTGACATATTTACCTATTATGTCTGTTTGCTTTGCTCACACATTGTTGTCAATATAATGTAATTTTATACGACTGTCATACAGGTCAAAGGTTAAGCAAGCTTTAAAATCAGATTTAATCCACCGTTTTCTACATAAGGAAATGCCTGTACCAAGTCAGGAATAAGATTTTGCCACTCGTTAAATGAACTTTCTGTTTTGAATTTTCCTTGCAGTTATAATATATTGTAGCTTTCATATATCAAATTAACACAAACGTCAAACACACATAACATAATACATTATTGCGATTACACCATATCTATAAACAGTGAAGCATGTCTTCAAAAAGATAACTTTTAATCAGTTTATGTACATTGCTCTATTTTTATAAACAATGTAAATGTAATAATTTGGTAGACATTAATATTGTATTTATATTGTTGTGTCATAGATCAAACTTATTTGTTCAGTGTATGTTTACTTGTTTTTGTTTATATTTCTTTTTGATCGAGTTTAGCCATTTCAATTGATATTTTATAGTTTTTTATGTTGTAATGTTACACTACTGTTTCAGGTTAGGATGAAGGTTGGCGCATGTTAAAACCCGCTGCATTTGTATGCACCTGTCCTAAGTCAGGAGCCTGTTGTTTAGTGGTTTTCGTTTGTTGGTGTGGTTCATACGTGTTTCTCGTTTCTCGTTTTTTATATAGATTAGACCGTTGGTTATCATGTTTGAATTGTTTTACACTAGTCATTTTGGGGGCCCTTTATAGCTTGCTGTTCGGTGTGAGCCAAGGCTCCGTCTTGAAGGCCGTACTTTGACCTATAATTGTTTACGTTTTACACATTGTGACTTGGATGGAGAGTTGTCTCATTGGCACTCATACCACATCTTCTTTTTTATATTATGTAATCACCAGTTTTGTTATGAATATACATTGTATCGATCCGTTAACTAAAATGTAAAAGTACACACTAGACCTAGTTATTTCATATCTGATCTAATAAGTGTACCACATCATTATTGATATCTGGGTCTTTATTTTGTAATTGATTACGTAAAACGATATTTTCTTTGAGTGCACAATAAAATTATCTGATAACACTATTATTATTCCAAGTGAATTTTTCAAACTTTTTTAAATTTCGAAGTTTTTTTCAAATGTCCATTTGGCAAAGGATATTGCCAAATATTATTTCTTTTAAACGTGCTAAAGGCCTGTCATAAAAACCGAGGATTATGTTTCACTCTTGTAGAACTAATTTATGTGTCAAGTGTACTTTTGTGAATATAGTGTTTAACTCTATTATTTATCGGAATATCTTTTTACAGTTATAAAAAAGATGATTTTGTGTTTCAATGTGATTTTTGCAAAAATGGTAATTACCTTGAATCAAAAAATGCTTAAGGATGTATTTTTCTGACGTTTCAGTCTCGTTGAAATCTCGTTCTGGAATTATTTCCGAAACATGTGATACAAGTGGAAAATATCAATGAATTTAAAAAATATTATAATCAAACTTAACTCTGTTTGTAAAAGGTAGTTTTTGAATAATAAAATTTTCAAATTTTATAACCAATCATGTCAGTCTCATTAGCCAAAATGTTGAGAAAATGGGTGAGGGGTTTTACCAGAAACTTGTACATCTAATATCATTTTTTTCTTTTCAAATTTCTTAGACTTGTATTTTTTAAATCATTTATAACAAAGAAGTTGAAATTATATGCTTTTTGTCCCAAAAAAAGATAAAAATCCCAAATTTACAAAATTGACAGCATGGTAAATTTGACACGAAAAAAGCAACAAAATTTTATAAAACTTTCTTATATTAACAACTCCCTATAGTTTTTTTTATCTTCAATTTATTCAGATTGGTCCACTTCATCTTTAGTGAAAGTATGAAAAAAAGTTTAATTGTGAAACTGTGATTTTTTTTCATAATAATAGCCCAAAAATGGGTAAAAATTTATGAAAAATGGGAAATTCATCAAAATTGGGTACTTTTAAATGGCCGTAACAAAAAAGGAAGTGCACCACCATATGATTTTTTCTTCACCAATTATTTTTTTAACAGTCATATAAACCCAAAAATCAGGTTACGAAAAAAAGTTTAATTCTGGAAATTTTGGCTCCTCAGAGGTGTACATCCTTAAATCGATGTAGTCTAGATTCGATGTAAATAATGTTATGTAGGGTCTTCCAATGGATTCACAAATTTTATTTTTATACCCAACCTACGATAGTAGAGGGGCATTATGTTTTTTGGTCTGTGCGTCCGTTCGTTCGTCCGTTCGTCCGTTCCTACGTCTGTCCCGCTTCAGGTTAAAGTTTTTGGTCAAGGTAGTTTTTGATGAAGTTGAAGTCCAATCAACTTGAAACTTAGTACACATGTTCCCTATATTATGATCTTTCTAATTTTAATGCCAAATAAGAGCTTTGATCCCAATTTCATGGTCCAATGAACATAGTAAATGATAGTGCGAGTGGGGAATCCGTGTACTATGGACACATTCTTGTTTATTCCGTGATTTATTAAATTACTCCAAACCGATTTCCAGTCAATAATTATAGCAAACTCAGTTTCCCATTTTAATTGTGCTTTAGGTATGTTTTTTTTTTAATTAAGAACGTGTTGACTATCTTTCGGTTGTGAATTTTTGGAGTTATTTTAATACATGAAATTGTGTACAGATTTAAGTTGTCTCATTTAATTAATAAATTGGCCTGCTGATTCGGTAAAATATGTATACCCCTCAGTATATCTATGTACATTTGAGGTATAGCATTTATATTTTTTGAATATTGGTTATGCAATTCCTTTTATCAATAAGTCGATTATATATGAAATTACAGTTTTGAATAGTATTCGTTTCAAGATTCCATCTGTTACCAATAGTTGCTATTTTACCCTCGTGAAAGATTTAAAATATAGAGATTTTCTTTTAAATTTAATATCAGAGTTACGAACAAGTCTAGTTTTCAATATTTCTTACTTGGTATTACATGTATTAGGAGTATGTATTTTTCTTAATTCCGATAAAGAGTTAAAGGCATTCATATAGAACGTGGATTGATGACAGACTAAAACTAGATAGATCTGTGCATCTACATAATAAATATTCTTCATCAATTATTACGTCAAATTTATTTAACCAGTTTTTACCCCAGATATTTCAAGTTTCTTCATCTGAGTGAATGATCTTGTATAAACACTTTACAAAAGAAAAAAAATGTTCATCATGCCAATACCTCTCTTTTTAGTATCTTAGCAACAAACGTACCTATCTATTTGGTTAATATTATTATTCCAAATAAATGCCCAATCGAGTTTGTTTATATCGTTTAAATATTGGTTTGGAATCCCGCGATTGTCAGTTTCT